CGAAAAATGGTTCACCGTGTAAATCTCAATTTTGGGTTGAGTCTTATACCAGCTAACCATCTACACATTGAATTGATACCTCACTGCGACATCAGCCAGCACAACTGATACCTCAGTCCAGTATCAGGTTCAGCCCCAGCTTTGCTACGCTTAAATTCGACTACCACCACTTTCATCACATGCGGTTGGGTATATCGCGTAGTATTCAAACAAGACATCTATCTCTGAGCATGATTTCTACAGTGAGAATAATCAGACCGTATCATGTCTGCGTACTACGAACGAACGCTGACAGATGAAGACACCATTTTTTGAACGAACGGATTTGAAGCGAAATTTCACCGCATTCCCAGAACTTATTATGCAAGAATCTAGGGTGATTAGTTTCCTATTATGTGGTGATGTGGCGAGCGTGGTACCCGATTATTTAAACCTCTATAGTTCGTTTCGGTTCGTTTTGAGCAATGCGAATGCGTTTTCAATATTTTGTGCATAAATAAAAAGAGGCGCGTATGATATGTTATCAAGGGNGTAGTTCGGTATGTCGCGAAAAATTCGGCTGAATTGAGATATTTTGAACACAATAATGTAACGCATAAGACGTCAACTGACAGATATATCAGGTGAAAAAAGTTTGAGGAGCATTGTTTTTGCAGTCCGTTAGGCTCCCTTGTAGGTTATTGAATTGCCACTAGATGAAATAAGACTCTTTTCGTTCTACAGAAGTCTTGTTTCTGAAAATTAATTTTGGTTATGCATCTAGCTTATTAGCTTTCAGTCATGTAAGTTCTTCGGGTAAGAATTCCTTGAAAATTCCTGTCACCATATTTCTGTCAGTGCACACTTGATCATCACTCATCTCCTCTAACTCTTGCTCGGAGTTGAAATTTATTCGTATTTAAAGCATAGAATTGAATTCCAGTTCAAAAGTTTCCTGCAGCAGCCGAGATGGTGAGGTTCCGTAGCGTTGTATTGTCGTCTTCATCGCAACCAAATGTTGTAAAGGGTTCGTATCAATGGAATGATTACTTGGAGAAAATACTGACGAAAGTGAATGAATCTGGTGAAGGTGACAATCGTATCAGTGAATATGTGGTACCAGCTGAGTGCTTTTTTGAGGCACCGTTTGTTGAATTCGCCCGTTACATCGTTAAGAATCTCAAGGTATTTCGTAATTACTGGAAAAAATATTTAGGCAGTTTCGTCCTCAATAAGATCCATCCTCTGAATTTCCAACACTTCTGCAGTTGATAGGCGGCGGAGTGCACAACACACCTTTGTAATGATTGACATCATTACTCTGTCTGGCCTGAATTTATTTTACTTGGTTGCTTTTCTTTTATTTTATAGTGCTTTGTTCATTTTTGTTTTGATGAGCATGCATGTATTTGCACTGCACCACCTTAAACTGCAGAAGTACCGAATTGCTCTCTTTTAACGAGAGTTCAGCACGGTAGATTGTTGGGTCTGCCTAATGGCTGGACCAACATGAAAGTAACACTTCGGTAGTTATGAGGCTATCACTGAAATGTTGCGTAACCATATGGTATGAAGGGTCAAAAAATGCAGCACCGGTTATAGAAGGGTATAGATCGTGTTTGAGAATAATTTTTTCAGTCTTATTGAGGTGGTTGGGATTAGAAGTTGATGTGACTGTTTGTGGTACCAACTTGACTGATTTGTATCATGATTAATCATTCCTCAGGTAGAAGTTGCCCTAGAGGAGGATACTGCATCGCTTCTGGCGGACGAATCGATCTCATTGTTTTGGGTTGCAAGTGTTCAAAAGGTTTGCTCTCAGTTATTGATGAACTTATGGCAAGGGTACAAGATGAAGTATTTAGGCAATGGGTAATATTTTTCGTTTTTGCCTAGAGAATCTCATTCCTGATTGTTTCTGAAACTTTTCAATTTAGAGTTATTCCTGAATATCGAAAAGTTTTTTTTTGTGATGTAGAAAGTTTCTGGGCTTGAAAAAATATTATCGATGACTTCC